CATATACATACATACATATATAGAGTATATATTTTGCATACGCATACCTTGGCACACAAACAAACACTATTATCTGAGGCCATTATGCCCAGATTGATGTGCCATCGAAGGGAGTCGCAGATTGGATCCCCCGAAAAACGGGGTTGTATATCCGCCGCTAGAGGGCGCAGTGGTGGTGGCGGTTGCGGGGTAAAATATGAAGCACACTGCATGCTTGGATGACCCGATAAAAATTCTTCCCCCCCTAGAATTTTCCTTATTCTTTATATTGGATTGTGAACTCCACCTGGAACAACAGCAACAAATAACAAGCCAGTAATAAATGCAAATCATAATCAAGAAGCAATCCGCGGAAACAGAGTATAGGAACTGCCCTTGAAGGCAATGCAAATCCCGTTTGCCAAATTAATTAACCAAAGAATTGACCTGTGTGTCTACCGACTTCTGAAATTTCCAAATTCAACCCAACCCCTTTTCAAAAAAACAGCACTGGGCGTGACAACAATACTGTCCCATAACCCGATTCGACCCGATTTTATAGGTATATATATAAATCAAGCTGGAAATTGCGCAGCGCGAGCGACGACCCTCTTCAAAATATTTAATACCGCAAGTGACCCCTGTCCACCATTTCATCAAAGTCCAATCCTCGGACCTCATTTCCCAGATTCCTCCCCGTACAAATCGCCAGCGAATTTGAGAGAGACAGGGGCTGCGATTAGAAGGGGTTTTCAGGGAGTTAAAACTGATGAGGAAATAAAAATAAATAATGTCGGAGGAATATTACTGATTTAAGGGAATAATGTAAATAAATATATATATCAAGTAAAATAAATTACATAATATAAATAAATACGATAGCTTATTATAGAAACTAGAAATCTTTTATATATTATAAATTAAATAATCTAAATAGAATATAATCCAAATATTAAGAATGAATTGAAACCCTTTAAAGTTTTAACTCAATAACAAATAAATAAATATAAGAATCTAATTTTAATATTTATAAATTAAATAATATAAAAAAATGGTTTATTAAGAATTAATAAATTTTAAACTTATATTAAAATGTTTTTATTTTCTATTTGAAAACCTTGAACATTTATTGGATACTTAGACCCCTGGAAATTTCTTCTACCCTCCGCCACTGGATGGAAATAAGCCGGAAAATCGGGTTGACAACTTGCCCAGATGTCCGCGAACGAATTTACATACTGCGATTCGCATGTCTGTTTGCCCAGAGTGACCGGTGGCCATTCGGAGACCCTTTGGGGTGCAAAGGTTACGCGTGCGCTTCGTTCGTGCCTACATGAGTCGAGGTCCACATCCCCATTCGCAGGACTCTTTCGCATCCTTATGGAAACCACAGGAGCGGAGTGGTGCAAACCACTCGCCGTGGTTCAAAGCTGTCGCCGCGCCCAAAATTCCACAATTTAAGCATGATTTATGAACTAAATGCCCAGTGGTCAGTGGGCAGTGGTCATTGGTCAGCTGGGAATGATTAATCGATGGCAACAATTATCGAATGGGCTTATTTACGAGGGCCAGGCTATATAAACATTTTCGTGAATTATGGAAATGGTTTGAAAAAGGGGTTAAGAAAACAAAGGATTAAAAATAAATATTTAAGAAATATTCTAGTTGATAAAAAAAAGTTAAAAAAAAAGTAAATAAATATGAAAAGCTTAACTTAATATTACAAATCTTTTATATTTCTTAAATTAAAGAAGAAAAATAAAATAAATATCAAATTAATAAATGTAAATTTAACTTAAAATAGGTAATATTTTTAGTAATTACACTTTGAATATACTTATTAGTGGTTAATATAAGAGTTTAAATGAGTGAGTCTTATTATTGCCGACGGCATTTACAGTTAAATGTTTTTCCATTATTATTAAAAATAAAAAAAACTGAAAAATAATTAAAAAATTAATAAAAATAAATAAAAATCCACTAGTTTCATTGCCCGAATTAAATGGTTGAAAAAAAGCAAAAAATCCGAGCTGAATCTTAAAGCGATTAAGTAACAGAAGGCCGTGAAAAGCTGAAATGCAGTTGGGATTTTTTCCGTTCTTGTTTTTCGCACACCTCGAATAGCAAATGAAAAGCGGCGGAAAAAAAGGGAAAACAGATGTGACAAGTGCAAGGCAAAAGTGTAAGGACATACGTACTATATAACACACAAACAGTGGGTGTATAATATATATGTGGTAGGTACATAAATATATATATCACGACCTGGTAGCAACGACCTTTGCACAAAAACACACATGGATATCAAGCACTTTTTTCTCGTATTCCTTACAAGGAAACTACATATAAAATATGTAGATTTTATTCCATTGTTATATTGTTTCGATTTCAATGCATATTTTGTGAGGATTTTCCAATTGTTGTGACCGGTTTTCGGGGGGCAATTTCATTAACGAGTTGATTGAAATTTCCATTTCTGTGTGGCAGCTAAAAACCCGTTTCGAAATTTAATCCTTTAGATACATTTTTTTTGGGGCAAACATTTCCACGGGGCATGCAACAGTTAGTGCGCTTTATGTAAAAATCCGGCTTTTATATGGATCCTGGGATCCTTGGATCCTTGGCAGGTGCAAAATGCAGCGGCAAGTGCAAATGAGGCAAATTTCAAAGTCAAGTTTACACGCAGCAAATGCTTTTGTGCATCAACGCTCTCCTAGTTTTCCCCGGCTTTTCCTCGACCTCCCCCTCCCCACGACTTTTCCACTGACTTTTCCTCTGTCTGAGGAGGTCCTGGGCCAGGGCCTTCCCCCTGAATTTCCCCCCCCCACTTGCACCAGTTGCGACTGCATAAGGAATCCCACACTTTATTCACACCATAAGTCAATTTTTTAGAAATAATTATTATACAGGATAACTCACTTAAGTCTTCACTCGCATTAATTTAAAAAAATGTATGTATTTAAAATATACATAATAATAGAAAAAAGAATAGTAAAATACCTACTTTTTGTATTAAAAAAAGTGAAACCAAAAATATGTAGGTACCTAAATATTATCTATATTAATTACATTTAACAATAAATAAATTTTAAACATTAAAATTAAATATAAGTAATAGTAAATACAATTTGTAATGTTCAACTTTTCTTTGGTTTTTTTTTTTTTTGGTTTTTTCGTACGTTTAGTTATAAATTAAAATGTAGAAAATCCAGAACCATTCATAACATTTTGTTACAATTTTATTATTTGTTTCCTTAATTTTCTTATAGAAAGTAAATCGAAATATTGCTAGTATTCTGGCCATAACTGTGCTGGATGCGCTTTAATTTTTTTTCGACAGCGACTTTTCTGGGGCCTTTTATAACACCTTTCGCTGCAGCGACTGTGAATATGTACAAAGTATATATATTCGTACGTATGGCTGCTGGGGGTATAAGAAAATGAACTTTATTTAAGAATGAAAAGGAATGCCAAAGAAGCGTGAAATAAAAATGCACGAATTGTTCTAAATCTGAAGCGGAAAAGTGAAAGTGCATCGCCTTAAAATTGCGAAAAGAGGAAAAATAAATGAAAAAAAGCAGGAGAAATGAGATGAGATGGCGAAAAGGTACTTCAGGAAATCGGATTATGAGTGTTTTTTATTTTGTATTTGTTCAAGGAGTGGCATATGATACTCCATATATCTTTCAGCCGTTATCCTTTATCCTTTGTGCATCCCTTTTGGCTAGCTGGTAAATTGATGTAAAGTTGAAAACTTTCATTTGGCTTTCGTAATTAGTTGGTAGTTGCGAAAAAGCCAAAGCAAAGGATATATATCCTTTACTTTTCACATGTGTACACTCACATATGTATGTGTTTTAACGTCTGCGCGTGTGCGTTAAGCAACAACAACAATTTCGCACACATACGACGCGTCCTGCGAAATGTGTACATAGCAGCCGTCTCTTTCTAGCCACCTCGGAGGCTCTCTTTCGCACACATGTGCGTATTTGTCACGTTTCATACATAAAAGTGGCATGTTACGTGGGTTTTTTTTTTGTTTTGCGAGGGGGGTTGAAATATCTGGGCGTGGCTTCGGTTCGCAATATGTGTGCGAGCGAGAGGTCAATGCGGCGTTAAAGGGAGATGGCAAATGGGACGAAGTGTAGAAATGGCAATTGCAATCTCTATGACAATTGATATTCGTTTAGCTCTCAAATTTTTAAGCTGTCGAAATTAAAATTAAATAAGATCTAATCTAATTTTTTTATTGAAAAAATGTTTTTTAATTTTATTCTTTATATTTCTTAGATTTTCAGAACCTTTCATTCTTTTCTTTTGTTTCGAATAAAATGCATATCCTTTTTGAAAAAAGCTCACATATTCAGAAGGCGCGCCTAAAGCTTACCATTTCAAAAGCCCTTTGTTTTGAATTATTTTATGAAACGTTGAACTTATTTTTGCATAAAATGTAATTATTTTATTTACAATTTGTTAAATTAATTTTTTGGTTAGCAAATCAAAACACATCTTTTAACTTATAAATTAATAAAATATTTATTTGTAAGTACTTAAAATTTATATTAAGTAAACAACTTAAAAAACAAGCCAGTTTATTATTTATCACTTTGTTTGGTTTTTTTTAAGTTGTCTTTAAAAAGTGCGCCCTTTAAAAGCTCTCTCCTAGTTCACACCCAAATACGGCAGATGGCGTGCTTACATGCAAACCAGCTATTATGGGTGTGTGTACCCGCTATATCACAAACGGTCTCTTTGAAATGCGCTTTCCGATTATTCTTTTGGCGACCATTTTAAAATTTTTTATTTTCAAACACACGAAACGCGGAAATCAACATTTTACGAAAATTATTACTTTAAAACGGGACAATCGAAATCGCAAAGTTCCAAAGACAATCGAATTGGATTTCACTGGTTGGCCAATTGGAATGCAAGCATTGCATCAAACCAGGTGTGTGTCACCGCTGAGGCAGTATTTCCGGTATAATAATAGTATTTTATGGTATATTTTTGAGACCAAATTGGTATTTCTCGTTTGGTCCGGCGCGGTCACGCTGTCACGGTTACATCATGTGCATTTTTTAAACAGAAAACTTTAATAATTTTAACTAAATTTCGGTAAATTGCCGCACTGTCGAGCGCCGGAAATGTACGGTTATTGGAGGACCCAGCCACGCTTTCCACGCATTTCCATTTCCATTTGAAAACGCAGCAGCCGCGCGGCAGCAACAAAAGAAAACCAGAGAGCGGAGAAAAAGAAACATAAAAATAAATACAAATATAAAACAAATACAAAAATATGAGCGATAGTGGCAACAATCAGGTTAGTTTGCGTGATAGAGCGAGATGGGGCGATGCGATTCTGTTTTATCAATTCGTTTACGCACACAGATGCACAAAAGTTGTCAAAAAAAAACAAAAAAAAAACATTAGAATTATATTACTTTTTGCCTGAATTTTTGTGCAGCGCAATTGGACCACGTGTGTGTGTGTGTGCAATTTGCGTTGCGGTATTTTCCTTTTCGCCAGCAACAGTGAGCACTCGATAAAGTGAACCTGGGAATTTAAGAAATATGAAAAACAAAAAAATTGTTTAAAATATTAAAGATTGCTTTTTTTTGTTAATGGCATATAACAATTTATAATTTTCTATACAACAGTTCACTTGTTCGAGTGCGCACTGTGCTTATATACACTATTATATTTCATTTTTCCTTTCGTTTCGTGTCATAATTTGTTCATTTAATTTCATTTCAGTTTTGTGACGTTGATTTTTGAGCAAAGACCCCCACAAAAAAAAATCCAAAATATAGTACACAAAAAAGTTTTTGAGTTTTTGGCGGAGGAAACCGAATACCTAGGCTGCATACCTTTTGTTTTGTATCGAAATTCTCTTCTTCCCCAAACAAAAACCAACAAAAAAAACTCTTATAAAACCATAAAACCAACCGAATCTTGAACCGGATCCCGAAATGGCGGCCTACTTGAACCGCACCATCTCGCTGGTGACCGGGCAAACGGGCCCCGCCGCCAACGACGACGATCGCCACTCCTCGTCGACGGACACGGTGGACAAATCGTCTTTGTCCCGGCTCAACTCATCCCTACAACCCTCGGGCTCCACGACGGCCGCCAATCTGCTACCCGAATCGCGGCTCTACCAATCCAACGACAAATCGCCCCTCCAGATCTTCGTGCGCGCCAAGAAGAAGATCAACGACATCTACGGGGAGATCGAGGAGTACGTCCACGAGACGACCACCTTTATCAATGGTGAGTTTTCAGGGGGAACTTGGGATGGGTAGCAGGTATCCCTGTATGGTAACTATATGGTTTTATCCTTGTAAAACCCATTAATAACCTTCATCTTTCCTTTTTTTTGTAAAAAGAACAGGATTTGATGATGAAACCCCCAGTAAAACCCATTATAAGGGGTTCTCTAGTGGTAAAGCTTTAAAAACTCTTGTGTATTCCTATAATACTGTGTTTTAAACCTCATCTGTACTTATTTTCATGTTAAAAGAACAAGATTTGATGGTAGAACCTCCATTAAAATTCATTATAAATGGTTCTCTTGTGGTAAGGCTTTAAGAACTCTTGTGAATTTCTATAAAACACAGTAATAACCTTCATGTTTACTTATTTTCATATTAAAATAAGAATATTTTATGATAAAACCGTTTATAAAGGCTTTTACCAAAAATATTTTATAATATATATCATATCATATTAAGATTTGATGACAGAATTCCCAGTAAAACCCATTATAAGGTTAGAAAAAATAATATATCTACCGAAAGAACACTTTTTTTCATATATCTTTAAAAATATATCTTTAAAATCCTGTAATCCTTACAAATAATAGTATAGATTACAACCATCAACTAGCATTAAAATTGACCTTTATGGGGTGATAACCAAAGTGGTGAAATTATAATTTGTTATTTAAGCATGTATATAACCCGTTTCTATTGCTTTTCCAGCCCTGCATGCGGAGGCGGAGATCGTGGACAAGGCGGAGCGGGAGCTGTTCGAGAGCTACGTGTACAAGGTGGCCGCCATTCGCGAGGTCCTGCAGCGGGACCACATGAAGGTGGCCTTCTTCGGACGCACCTCCAACGGCAAGAGCTCGGTGATCAACGCCATGCTGCGCGAGAAGATCCTGCCCAGCGGCATTGGCCACACGACGAACTGCTTCTGCCAAGTGGAGGGCAGCAACGGTGGCGAGGCGTATTTGATGAAAGAGGGATCCGATGAGAAGCTCAATGTGGTGGTAAGATATTCCCCTCTCTCCAGTATCTTCATCCACTTATCATGTTTACCCCTTCATCCACAGAACATCAAGCAACTGGCCAATGCTCTGTGCCAGGAGAAGCTCTGCGAGAGCAGTTTGGTGCGCATCTTCTGGCCCCGCGAACGCTGCAGCCTGCTGCGCGATGACGTCGTCTTTGTGGACTCACCGGGCGTCGATGTTTCGGCCAATCTGGACGACTGGATCGACAACCATTGCCTCAACGCCGATGTCTTTGTCCTCGTCCTGAATGCCGAGTCCACGATGACGCGTGCCGAGAAGCAATTCTTTCACACCGTCTCCCAGAAGCTGAGCAAGCCGAACATCTTCATCCTGAACAATCGCTGGGACGCCTCGGCCAATGAGCCCGAGTGCCAGGAGTCGGTAGGGTTCTCTAGGGAGTCGCTTTCTGTAGTTTTAAGTATCTTTCCTGCCTCACCAAACGAATCATTGTTATACAATTTCATATATGTATAGCTAAGATTCGTTTCTGATCTCTTGAGACCTCTTTTTGTATGCCTGTTGATGTGTGTCTTTTGTTTTTGTTTCTTAAACCCAAACAACCCATCAAACAAACAAACAACCAACCAACTATCCAATGTATTCAACGCCAGGAACTGGCCAAGGTAATGAATGAGCTAGAATCGCTTGCTTGGTCCCAAAAACCCTTCCCTTTTGCTGTTTCCTCTAGAGAACTTCGGCGACTGCCGATGGAAATCCCTCTTTCTGATCTACTAAGTACTCCTACTAATGAATTCCAACCATTTAATAGGTGAAATCCCAGCACACGGAGCGCTGCATCGATTTCCTCACCAAGGAGCTGAAGGTGAGCAACGAAAAGGAGGCCGCCGAGCGGGTTTTCTTCGTTTCGGCGAGGGAAACGCTGCAGGCGCGGATCGAGGAGGCCAAGGGCAATCCACCGCATATGGGCGCCATTGCCGAGGGCTTCCAGATGCGCTACTTTGAGTTCCAGGACTTTGAGCGCAAGTTCGAGGAGTGCATCTCGCAGAGTGCCGTCAAAACAAAGTTCCAGCAGCACAGTTCGCGGGGCAAGAGTGTCTCAGGGGATATGAAATCGATGCTGGATAATATTTACGAGCGGATTACCATCTTCCGCAATCTGAAGCAGGACCAAAAGAACATGCTAACCGAACGCATTCAGGGCACCGAGACGCAGATGATGCAGGTTACGCGCGAGATGAAGATGAAGATCCACAACATGGTCGAGGAGGTGGAGGAGAAGGTGTCGAAGGCGCTGAACGAGGAGATCTGGCGATTGGGCGTGCTGATCGATGAGTTCAACATGCCCTTCCATCCGGAGCGACTCGTGCTGAATATCTACAAGAAGGAGTTGAACGCGCATGTGGAGAGCGGGCTGGGCAGCAATCTGAGGGCCCGGCTCTCCATGGCTCTGGCCATGAATGTGGAGTCCGCCCAGACGGAGATGACCGATCGCATGCACGCCTTGGTGCCCAACGAACAGCTGCTGGCGACGAGCACCAAAATGGTGGTGCGCACGCAGCCCTTCGAGATGCTCTACTCGCTGAACTGCCAGAACCTCTGCGCCGACTTCCAGGAGGATCTGGAGTTCAAGTTCAGCTGGGGCATAGCGGCAATGATCCAGCGATTCACTGGGAAGGTGCGCGAGCGCAGCAAGAAGGGCCAGCCGGCGCTGGTCAACCGGCAGAGCAGTATTGGAGTGGGTTTAGCTTACATTAGCTTTATTACTAAACTTGTTACTAAACCTGTTACTAAATTACAGCACAGCGTATCCACGCCCGCCACGACGCCCGTGGAGGCCACGCCCGTCTGTTTGCTCCCGGCTCCTGGGGTGGCCGGCATTACGCCCGAGCAGCTGTCGTTGATCTCCCGCTTTGCGGTCTCCTCCATTGGATCCCAGGGCACCGTGGGCGGCTTGGTTGTCGCCGGCATCGTAAGTTTGCGTTCACCTTTAACCATCCCGTACCTCTTGTGCTCAAGGAAACGCCCAAGCAGGTGCTTATGAATAGCTATGTGCTGAAATCCCAACACTTGCAGATGCTGAAAACCATCGGCTGGCGGGTTTTGGTCGGCGTGGGCGCCCTCTATGGCTGCATCTACCTGTACGAGCGGCTCTCGTGGACCAACTCGGCCAAGGAGCGCACCTTCAAGGGGCAGTATGTGCGGCATGCCACCAAGAAGCTCAAGATGATAGTGGACCTTACCTCGGCCAATTGCAGCCACCAGGTGCAGCAGTGAGTGTGGATTATTTTAATGCTATTTTAAGGTGATTTCATATAATTTAATGTATGTTTTTAACCCCAGGGAACTATCGAGCACCTTTGCCCGCCTGTGCCGCACCGTCGACACCGCCACCACGGACATGAACGATGAGCTCAAGACCCTCGACTCGCAGCTGAACATCCTGGAGGCCAACCAGAAGCAGCTGAAGCTGCTGCGCAACAAGGCCAACTACATACAGAACGAGCTGGACATCTTCGAGCATAACTATATATCGCCGCAGTAGAGGAGAACCAAGGAAAACCAAACACCCAAACAAACGACTACAGCATCAATCAATTGACCACGTTTTTCGTTGCTCAACTCAGTTTATTTTCTTTTTTTTTTCTCTTTTTTTCGATGTAAATGCATGATTGAGCCCCTCTTTATTCTATTTTGTTTAAACAAATTGCTGTTGTTGTTGCAAACTATTTTAGTTTCTTTGTAATTGTTGACCCCGTAACCCGAGAACATATTTAGAAATATCCAAAACACACTGTGAGCATGGCCGGGTGCCATGGAAAACCAAGTTAAGATGAATTATATAAAGCATAAAGCATAAAGGCAACTCCCCAGAAAGCGAAGGCCTCATTTACCTTACCTAATCTAATAGAAAGTCTTGTAATTATACAATATTGTTTTGAATTGGATGCTATTTAAATGCTAGACTAATGAAAACGGCTCGTTTTGGGGTAATGCAAACACGATATAAATAGTTGTTGATGAAATGAATCATGATTCATGAACGAAAACGAAACGAAATAAAAGATATTTATGTAAGAGAAAAGTAATGATTATTATTTGATGGGCTATTTTGTGTATTATATTTTAAGGACTGAACGAGAAAGAGACGGATGATGGGCCCTATAAAAAGGGCGGGATTCTGAAATAATAGATCAAGCAAAAACGCCTCTTCATGGGGTAAAAAAATAGTGACGATCGCACTGTCAACAAACAATATTTTGTGACGAATATTGATTATACTATCCATTAATAGTAAAAAATAGTACAAATATATAAAGAATATTTATTTAATGGATGGTATAATAAATATTTCCAAAATATAAAATTAACCGGACAAACAGACATTTATGTCTCAATTTGAAAACTAGCCAAAAATATTAAAAAAATCAGTTCAGACTCGATCAACGCGAATTTTAATAAAAAAAAAATAAAAATGTAAAGCTAGTTTTCTTAATTTTATCGCTGTATTACTTAAGTTAACCAAACTGCCCCCACAGTGATAACAAGAAAGGAAGCTAGCTTCGGCCAGCCGAAGCTTATATACCCTTGCAGATCATTCCTATTAATTAACAAATCGCAAAAATGTTCAATTTTCTAATATTTCTCATTAATTTTCCGATCGTTCCTATGGCAGCTATATGATATAGTCGTCCGATTTTGATCAAATTAAAATTGAAATTCGGAAATATTTAAAAAGAGTCATATCCTAGAGTAGAAGATAATACAATAAAAACCAAAGAAGCTAGAATTTATTTCCTATTACTTTTCCATTAATTTTCCGATCGTTCCTATGGCAGCTATATGATATAGTCGTCCGATTTTGATTAAATTAAAATTGAAATTCGAAAATATTTAAAAAGAGTCATATCCTAGAGTAGAAGATAATACAATAAAAACCAAAGAAGCTAGAATTTATTTCCTATTACTTTTCCATTAATTTTCCGATCGTTCCTATGGCAGCTATATGATATAGTCGTCCGATTTTGATTAAATTAAAATTGAAATTCGAAAATATTTAAAAAGAGTCATATCCTAGAGTAGAAGATAATACAATAAAAACCAAAGAAGCTAGAATTTATTTCCTATTACTTTTCCATTATTTTTCCGATCGTTCCTATGGCAGCTATATGATATAGCAGTCCGATTTTTTAAATAATTAATTCGAAATTCAGAAATATTTAAAAAATAACATCCCCAAAAGTAGAAGGTAATATTTCAAAAAACACCGAAGCTAGAATTTTTTAAAGTTTTTTTTTTCCGATTGTTCCTATGGGAGCTATAAGATATAGTTGTCCGATCCGGTCGGCTCCGACATATATACTACCTGCAATAGAAAGAAGACTTTTGCGAAAGTTTTGTCCCGATAGCTCAAAAACTGAGAGACTAGTTTGCGTAGAAACAGACAGACGGACAGACGGACAGACGGACGGACAGACGGACATGGCTAGATCGACTCGTCTTGTGATGCTGATCAAGAATATATATACTTTATGGGGTCGGAAACGTCTCCTTCACTGCGTTGCAAACTTCTGACTGAAATCATAATACCCTCTGCAAGGGTATAAAAACTCAATTCGCATTGTCTTTTTCGTTTTAATCATATCGTTTTGATCGGGATCACACATTTGGTTAATTCTTAGTTATTTTCCTGCTGTGCCACTTGATTTCTTCGAAGCGTTTGCTAATACAAAATGTACAAAAAATATATAGTTCGTGTGTTTAGGCAAATAAATATATAGTAAGTTTTTTGTTTGGAATACAAAATATTATTTTGGATTTATATAAAGGCAGCCGGTAATCGGTAAATACAATACTTGGTTATATTTTAAATTACGTGTGTATAAACTTCTTAAACGAATCGAATCTATACATTTCTACACATTTGCCGAAAACAAATAACAAAAGTTTCCACTTTGAACTTACTAAATAGATATGGGGTTGATTTCAGATAGCAGTTTACAGATTACAGGTGTGTTTTTTTTTGTGTTTTGAGTTGAAGGTTGGATCTGATTTATCAGACCAGTCAAAGAAACTAAACAAGTAGACGATGCCGAATCAGTGGGCGGATCGTATTGGATCGGTATTGGTATATCGCTATATAGTATATATATGATATCCTATCGTTTTACAGGAAGTACGGCGTTGTGTTCTGCTTGGGTATCACCCTCTCCGCATCCGGGACCGCCAGGAAGATCTTCGTCTGCCGCTGCTGCGCCGTCTCGAAGCTCAGGATGGCGGCCACGTTGCCGCAGCGATAGCAATAGTTGGGCGCCGACCAGACCGTCACCAGCTTGCCCTCGAACATGTACTTGATGCCCTCGTTGACCAGCTGATGGGCGCGGCAGATCAAATCCAGGTTATTGATGGCCATGAAGTCCTTGGTGACATTGTGGCCGAACAGCCAGCCGGCGCCACGGGGACTCTGGCCCCAGTACTCCATGTCCTCGGGATCGGACCAAACCAGATCGCAGAAGGCGCCCTTGTAGGGAATCTCCCCGTTCCGCTCGATGGTTCTGATCTGATCCAGGGTGATGATCTCGGGACTCAGGCCGCCGTGCACGCACAGCACCTCCTCGTCGATGATCTGGAAGGGAATACTTATATATTATATATATGTTATTTAGGGAATTTATATAGATTAACCCACGGCGGCGATGGTGAGCAGATCGAAGACCTTGCAGCAGTATTTCCAGCCATTGGCATTCCCATACTTGCTGAAGCATTCGTCGAAGAACCCGTACACCTTGGTGATCTGCCGCGTTTCGTGGTTGCCCCGCAGCAGGGTGATTCTACTAGGATATCGCGCCTTTAAGGTGAGCAACCTGGTGAAGGTCTCCAGCGAATAGTAGCCCCTGTCCACAAAGTCGCCCATGAATATGTAGTTGGTGTCCGGCACCTGGCCGCCCGTGCGGAATAGTTGCTCCAGGTCGTAGAACTAGGGGATATAGATGATATAGATAGGGATTACCATGTGGAATCATGGGTTCATTACCTGACCATGGATATCCCCGCAAACGGTGACGGGCGTGCTCACGGGCAGGATGTTCGTCTCCTCCAGCAGGATGTCGCACACCATCTCGCAGAGCTTCTTCAGCTCGTTCTCCGGCAAATACTTGCACTCCTTCACGATCTCGATCCACTTGTCCACATCGCCCATGTTGTAGTTTCTGCTTTTTGCAATTTCTCAATTCGAGTTTCTCGTTTCTGGCTTATGTTTTGGTATTAAAAACATATGAATTCATAAAATACTGCACAGTATATACCAAGCGCATCGATAATGTTATCGATAGAGTCTTAGAGACGAGCAATTAATATCGATGTATGGGTACTTTTGATTTTCCGGTATTTAAATATACGGTAGTTTTTTAATAGTTGAATATAAAATACAAAGCAGAAAAATACGAAAAGGAATATCGATAGTAAGGGTTGAAACCCCGCTAGACACTTATCAGAGTCTCAAACCAAACTGAAATTTAGCCAAGACACTCGCCTTTCCCTGGTGTGTACACACTGATGAACTAGTTCCATTTCGCCTGCTATCGATAGCTTTAATCAAAATTCAAATTCAAATTTAAATTCAAATTCAAACCCTTTGGCGGCAATCTTATGTTTTTTTCGTTTTTCTAGCCTAAGCCAACCGAAAATTAGTTGCAATTAGCTTTTAGCCGCCACAAATCATAATTAGGCCGCCCCGCCGCTCGCTGAAAGCTTTTTAAATCCTCTTATTTTTTAACCCCTCCATTTTGTGCATATTCTTGTGTCGTTTTTTTCGCTTCTTGAAAATAATCACGCTTTTAAATTTTATTGCCATGGCACGCTACTTGTTTGTTTTGTTTTCCTTTGCCGTTTCCACGCCTTCTTTTCTTTTTTTAGGCGAGGGAAGGGGCGTTAAGGGTTAAGGGTTATGAGAAGCGTGCTGGCATGCGTTCTTTTTTTGGCACGGGGGTGGCGCACATGGGTTAATGGCCCTGCAGCTTGTTTAGAGTCTCATTATCACGCTGTGTTGTTTTTTTTTTTTTTTTTGGTTTTGCATCTTGAGTTGGAAAATTAAACGTGCCATTTAAAAAGGTGACAAGCTGCGAATCGAGGGAAATCAAAGGAAAACTGAAGTTAAAACTGATGAAAAAGAAATTAAATTTAAATGTAGTGTATGTCACAAATTGGGAAATATTTTAATTGGTTTTAGTAAAATCAGTAATATTATAAATAAATAAATTTAGTAAATAATATATAATATAATACAAATATAATATTTTATTTGGCTTAGATTATTTAGCTCTTAAGAAATTACATAAAATAATGGTAATGCTTTGAAAATCATTTAAAAAGACAGCAGATGACAAAATAAAGATCATAAATGTGATTTTTTTGAAGTTTAGATGTTTATATGTTATTTTTTTAATTTTGTTTTTATTTGCCGAGTATATAAAGCTCGTCCCCCCCCCTCCCTTTCTCTCTTTCTCTTTTGCTTTCTATCTTTATAACTCTCTTTCCCACTCCACTATTTTTGCCAAGATGGCGTGCTCCATCATTAGTGCCGTTACTTTATGCCCTTCCGTTTTGGTATTCAACTTGGGCTTGTTCTCTGCGCTGCTTTTTCTGCTCTTTTGGCCAGCTTTCCCGCTTTCTCCTTCTTTCTCCGCCTTCTCCTCCTCTCTCCTCCTTTCACATCCTTCCATTGTCCCTGCTGTCGCTGTTTGTGTCCGCCTGGCACAATGTTGACAATTAAGTTAAACTTGTTTTCTTACTTCGTTTCGTTACGTTTCGTTCCGTTTCGCCAATTCCGCTCGCATTCTCCCCCTAAAAGTCAAAGTCCTGTCGTCTGCGGCTGATGTGGCTGATAATTATGTGCCCCCTGCACGGACGAGAAGGACAACGGACAGCGGACAGCGGACAGCGGACAACGGACTTTATCTTTGGCAGTCACACGGTGCCAAAAAGTCCTGCGCTCCATACTAAATAATTCTTTATTTCATAATAGTGTTTTCCTAGGAACAAGACGTTAAAAACGAGGAAGAAATAGCAGAACCTGCACCCAGAAAAACTATCAAATCGATAAATGAAGCGATCTTAGAGCAGTCACGAAAATCCTGTTTTTGCAATAGCCCAAATCCAAAATTTCCACTAAAACAAATCGGAATTTTGGCCATAGCAATGACAATAGAAGTCCAAATATGGAGTGTCATACTTTTCTGAACTCGTTATTAAATTTCCTATCGATTTGCGTTTAAACCTAAAGTTTTTATTTTTTATCCATTTTTTGCAAAAAATCATGGGGTACCCCCTTATAAAAAATTTGAAAATTGGCGAAAATTGTATTATTCCAAAATCTCACTGAAAATGGTATGGATTAATTTATTATTTTGTTATCTGTTCAAAACAGTATGTATTTTTGGTGTAGGACCATTTTTAGCCAAGTTATAGCAATAAAACAAAAAGGAAAAATTCCTATTTTTACCAAAAACCCAGATCCCGAACTTTCCACGCAAAAATAATTCGTTTTTTAGCCGAAACGATGGAAATATAGATTCATTATAGAATATAATTCATTAGCTAGCTTTCAGCTGCTTTATTTAACTATTTTGTGCTGTGCAGGAAATGTGTGGAAACAGTTAGAGCATTGGGTCACTTTGATTTTTGGCACTGTTGTCCGCCTCCTTTTTAGTTAGCTTTTCTTGTTGACGTTTTGTTAACTTGTTTTTTCCTGTGCCACAGTGGCCACGCCCCCTCCCGCACTTACGGCCCTCTACCATTTATTTCTTTTTTTTCTCATTTCTCTGACGGCTTTTTGGCTGCTGGATGCCCTTGCTCTTGTCGCTTGAATTGTCGACGAAAATTAAATAAAATTAATTACCGCGTGTGTTTGTATAAACACACACAGGGAGACAAGACAGCGATTCGCGCTCCGCTGAACCGCCCACTTGCCACCCACCCACCCAACCACCCATCCAACCACCCAACCACCCACCTGTGCCGTTTGATTCACGCGCGTGTGCGTTTCCCGCGACCTCAAGGAGCCCACAGTCCGCCCACAGTTGCATCAACATTTAAATCAACATCAACATCAGCGAGTCACAGCCGCAACATCGGGACAAAGGATTTTCGACTGACCAAATCGGAGGTCACTTTGTCATAACATTCAAGAGCTAATGAAGCGTTCAAGACGCGCCGCTAGTGAGAACTGCAATTTAATGGGCTGATTTGGTAGGTAAATAATAAGGGCATTACAACTGAAGGCATATTTGTTAGTATTAAAAAAATAGTAGTAGTTAAAAAAAGAGTAAAAATGCAATTTAATAGTGCAAATTAATAAGTAATATGGTTAAAGCTTAAAGCTAAATATTTGTTTTTTTTTTTATAATTATTCATCTTAGTTCTACAAGTTGAAAAATTAAATTAAAATTAATTAGAATTTGTGTAGCTACTTTTAGAAATTTTAGTTCACATTAAATATTAATGCAAGCTAATATTAATATTAGAAAATATTATTTCCTTATGTATTTTAAGTTATGTTTGTTTTACTGGAATATATTATTTTTTCTTTGCATTTTTTTTCATTTAAAAGAAGTCTTTGCAATTTAAATAATTATCACTGCAAATGACTTTAAACTGTTCAATAATTCTGCATAACATGTAAAGGCTTAAAAGTAAAAGACCAACTCATCATAATAAATAAATTCGCAAAGTTATTAAAACGTACAAAGGCCGTGGCTAAAAATAAACATCAAAGGGGGCGAAAGGCAAATATATTTCATTTTACCAATGAATTACAACAAGCGAAATCCAATTAAGGATAAATATCAAATATCAATATGGAATCATCGATAGAATAAAACTAAAAGGCGATTGTGTTTACATACAGGTATTTTCACCGCTTCGCAGGTCAAAAGGTAAAAGGGGGGCTGGAAGTGGCAACTGGGCGGTTCGTGTTGCCAGGTCCTACTGTATCCCGTGGCGAAAGCGTGTCGACGGCATCTCCAACTCCCTTTCTCTCCAACTCCATCTCCATTTCCATTTCCATCATCATTATCAACAGTTGCCATTCGGAGGCCACTCGGAGGCACAGCGGTCGAGGATCTGGAATCGCAGGACTCTGCCACTGCCGCCGTGTTGCTTTAAATTATCTGTTGTTGCTGCCGGCGTTACATTCGAACCACCCCCTACCCACTACCCACTTACCCATCTACCCCAAAACCCTACACCCCAACAACTGCCACCCGTCTACTATTTAACGCTCCAGTTTTAGCTGCCTTCTCTGCACTGAGACAATTTATAAGTTTAGTTTAATGGCAATTTAATTTAAGTAAATCTTTGAACATTTTAAGACTGTAGAAATTAAGATTTAAGATTGCAGACTAAAAGATCATCTTGTTAGTTACAAATCGTTTATTAAATTACATAAAAAATAATACAAATCCCTGAAAAACATTAAAACTTTAAAGATTCTGTAATCCCCAAAAATTTGTTAGTTGAATTTCACGCCTATGGGCTTGAAAAAAATCAACCCAGAATAAATATTATACTTTTTTTGTATATACGAAGATTTGTAAATACGAAGATTTATGAAATGCTTATAGATTTAAAAACACTAAATAAGAGATCTTTAGAGATTTGTTTTTTTCTTAGTGTGTTCTAAAAATCTTTGGAGATATCTATGATTACCTAGAATAAATTTTATATTTTTTATAAGATTAGTTTCTCATCAAAAAAATAAATAAAATAGGAAAAAAATGTATTAAATTTTTATACAGTTTATTGTGCGAGTTAGCAACCGGAAGTGTGTTTTTCTCAGTGTACCTTTTTTCGAGGGCAACATCTTGCCACGTTTGCTGTCATTTTTAGGCGGGTTCTCGTGTCGTTTGGCCACGTTTTGTCGCCCAGTGGGTGGGATGGGGTGTTTTCGGGGGGCGTTACTCCTCCCACTCCTTCACGCCCTCCCCCTTTTTCCTCCCCCTTTCCCTTTGTCTCTGTTGTGTCATTTCATGCGTTTGCTTTGTTTTATTTATTTTAACTTTTGTGCCCATCTACCTCGCTCTTTCTTATCTCCCCCTATCCCCCTCCCTCTCGCTCCCACTCCTGCCATTGCCATCTCACTTGCTCCTCAACCAGTAGATTGTCATTACTATTTGTTGTTGTTGTCGCTGCTTCTTTGTGGCCTTTTGACTTTTTAGTGCTTT